AAATTCAAAACAGTGAAATTATCAAAGTGGTAATTTCACTGTCTCAAACAGTGAAATTACCAGTTTTTTCACTGATATATTTCTATAAACCACCGAATAGCATTTATATAAAAAAAACATTATCCAGGGACAGGAGTTCGATTACGCTCCCTTCGGAATCAACTATATAAAATGATGATAGTGCATTAATAGACAAAAATGGTGTTGATACTGTTAACAAGATGCCGTAAATGATGAAAATTTCACTGTATGGATTTATTACATGCTTTTCGGTGATATATATCAGTTAATTAAAAACTGATAATTTCACTGTTTTTAATTTAAGCCACTTACGTTGTTTGAGTGAAATACAAGCGTTCACAGTGCTTGAAACCAACTAAATGACGTGACGTCGTAAATGACGTCACGTTGTATAATTATTTGGCGCGCTTTTCATTAAGTATTAGGTTAAATGTCATTTAAATGTTTATAATATAATACAAAGAAAATTTGTTACACTGAAATAAACAAATATCCTCTATATATAATATTACTTCAACAACCGGAAATTCACGGGATGAAAATGTCGTTGTCTTCAAGTCTGTGTAATATTTTGATATTAAATTATTGTTACAAGTATATTTTAAAAAAAAATGTTTTATAACAATGGCTGTTTTCAACATTTTTCGAAAAATCATTATTACGGCGATTAACGTGGTTTTCATAGGACGACAATCATCGCATTGTTTAACAATAAACTTTCATTAATCAAATGTTTCATCTATATATAAAGCATCAGATTTCCCTTGTTAATTGATTTTTAGTGTTAAATAACATTATTTTGGACCGCTTTTCTACAATAAATACCCCCAAGGAACATACAGTAAAGCATATGCAACGGTTCTCATTTAGATAATGTTTGTCTAGGGTTTTGTTTTTCTATAGCACATGATTAATTGGGCGGAGCGATAAACCGTATAGCGTCTGGTCAAGTCCGCTGCGTGGCAGACTATACCTTTACGATACTGTACAAATGTGCCTGTTGTGTTAATGTGTTAATTAAGCGATGATAATTTCCATTACGCCGCCTGTCAATAAAGCTGGCAGGGGTCACATAGATAAGCCAATCAGCGATCGTTATCAGTTTCACCCTAAGATGCCTGCGAAGCCCATCATTTACCTTAAATAAAACAATGGTGCAGAATTAATTAAGATTGAAATTATTTTAATTTTATATAAATTTAAAGCTATTTAATCGGTATATTACATTATTAATAAAGTTACCAGATATACTGACATATTGACATATCGAGTAAGTTAGTTTATTATACAAAAGTCAATTGATTTCTACAAATGGAAATAATGAGTTTTGTAGTGGGTACAAAACATTTATCCTGGCTGTAGCACAATGCATTGGAAAATAAAAACGATTCACTAAATCCACAATTTTTGCCATTACCTATTCATAATCACATTATAAACATATAATAAGGTCCCAGAATATCCAAAAGATATGACATTTTGTAGTTTATAACGTATAGCGTCGAAGGTGTGAATAACCTTGCAATTGTCAATTGGTTGTTTGTAATTCGCTAACTGAGCGGTAACTAAATAGTAATTGTCTGATTTGTTTATTATGTCTCTTTTTACAGTTTGATTTACTTTGATTTATATTTCTTTCTTTAAAACATTAAAAAAGTGTATTATATTTTATATTTCTGTTTAAATAATGACTAAATGACTATTGATACTGCATTATCTTTTCAGGACTTTACAACCGGATCATATATATTGTAAAATATTATTTTGTAAACCCCTTATGTATTTTATTAATACCTGGTTGAATAAAGATATTTGAATTGATTTGAATTGTTTATTATGTCTATTTTCATAGTTTGATTTACTGTAAAGCATATATGTTACCGTTTAATAGTTATGCCTAAATGCGAAGGTAAAATCGGTATGAATAAAAACACAGATTTTTTTATAATGCGTTGCTTTTGTATATAAATTTCCGTATGTAGAAATTTATTGACTATTTGTGTAATAAACAACTTACTGGGTCCGTCAATATGCCAGTTTATTTGGTAACTTTATAAATGTACTTATTAAATAGTTCTAAATTTACATACAATTAAATAGACAGGAAGCTTGTCTTAGGTAAATGGTGGACTTCGCAGGCATCTTAGCGTGAAACTGATAACGATCGCTGATTGGCTTATCTCCGTGGCCCCTGTCAGCTTGATTGACAGGCGGCGTTATGTCAATTTTCAATGACTGCATGTTTATATTTGATACAAAATAACTACTTGAATGGCTTTATGCTACGCACGCCTTACGGCAAACTTGTTTTTCATCCCTTATTACTTAATCGCTACGTCTTAAAAATCTGTATGACACCGATTAGATTACCATTTGAGCATATTACCGTTTAATCTTATAAAGAATATTTATTTTTGTTTGTTTGTTTTGAAAAAATTTCAGTACTAATATTTCATCCGACGATGATAACAATAGAAAAATGAAACAATTTCCATTACTGGAATTGCTTGGTTTTATCCATTATATGAACAATATTAAAAATTTGTTTAATTACAACTGAACGAAGTGATCAACATATTGTTTGTTTTTCGAAAAAAAAACCTTACCGCGGTATTTATATTTAATTAATTCAAATAAGTTATATACTTCAAATCCATGAGAGACTTGCCATTTAGCTTGTGAAACTATTTGAATGTCAAAATAGACTGGATGAGACAGAAAATACAGATAGCAGACCGGCGAAGAGTACATCATAGCATTTTGGATTGTTTTATATTTAAATGAATTTTGGTGATTAAATCGTTACATATGATACTTTCCTGTATTCATTCCCGTCATATTCCAAGAAAAAATGCCAATGCCTGTTTTGTTATAATTATTATTATCATTATTATTAATATTATGATGATTATTATTATTATTATTATTATTATTGTTATTAATTATTAGTATTATTTCTTCTTCTTCTTATTATTATTATCATTATTATTAACATTATTATCATCAATATCAATCATTAATTATTATAATTATTATTATTATCATTATTTTTTATTATTATTATTATTATTGTTATTATTATGATGATTTTTATTTTATTATTATTTATTATTTTTATCATTATTATTTTTTATTATTATTACTATTATTATTATTAATTATTATTATTTTTTTTCTTCTCATTGTTAGCATTATTTTAATCATAATTATCATAATTATTATTATCATCGATATATTATTATTAATCAATTTTATTATAATTATTTTTATTATCCTTATTATTTTCATTTTTATTATTATTATTTATGTATATTATAATTATTATTTATCTATTATTATTATTATTATTTATTATTATTATTATTATAATATTATTATTATTATTATCATTTTATCATTAATATCTTTTTAATAATATAATTAGTATTACTATTATTACTTTTTATTTCTTATTATAATTATAATTATTTTTATTATTTTTGTTATAAGATCTATTATCTATTATTTATTTATTTATCTATTATTATTATTATTATTATTATTATTATTATTATTATTATTATTATTATTATTATTATTATTATTATTATTATTATTATTATTTTGTTGCATATTCCCTGCTATTTTATTTGATTTTTGGATTTTATTTTATTCGTATATTTTGTATTATATGTTAAAAGCGCCACACCTAAAAGATAGAACACTCTCCCATTTGCAAGGAATGGGAATTATCTCCCATTATAAGAAATTGGATTTTTTTCCCATTTATCAAAATAGGATTTTCTTCCCATTATTAAGATGGGTGATTTCACCCATGGGTGCGTTTCACCCATAATGAAAATGGGAGATTCTAAAAATATCTATATTTCGATCTATATTTTTAGGAAGGAATATCTTAAGTCAAGATTAGTGATTTTTTAAAAAAAATAATGGTATATAATTTTTTTAATTCTCCCGTGATTTTTTTCTCCCATTCTCGTAAAGAGGAAATGAAACCCCACGAAACTCCCACTGGGAGACCAAATCCCCAGTGGGGGAATCGAAAAACCCCATGGGACGGCCAACTTTGAATGTCTCCCCTGCATTTAATTTTAAGGGTATCGTCATTTCAAAGGCCAGGTTTTACTTGACTCTATCTCTATTATTGACCGGTCTTTAATTTTTTTCTCTAATCAATTTAAAAAAGGTAGCTGAGTTTGCGAAAATTCCGGATTTGCAAACTTATTCCGGAGGCTGTTTTTAGCAATTTCACCATAACTATTATTTGATATTACATACTTATTTTTGCTATTTCTTAAATAACAGAACAGTCCGTCCTCAAATTCATTGGAACATTATGCAAACAGCTCCAATATTTAAATAGACATATTCTCTGCGCAACGGAGATACTTTTCTTTAGCCCTGTCTTTGTCTTATACTTATCTTAAATATACCTATCATTTTTATTTACTTCTTATCCAATTTAAATTGCTTCGACTTTTCAAACTTTGTCGCAACATTCTTACATAAAACTTTGTGAATATTTATGCATTAGGTTTTACTTTTTCACAAAAATATGCAACGAAATTAATAAAAATCGATCAATAGCCAAGAACATGAAGAAAAATCGATTTGTGCTTCGGATATTCAACTTTTATAGAGAACACCTATCAAGGTTGATTTTGTACATTTACTGTTGACATCATTTGGCGCCGTCTTTGATGTGTATCATGAACATATAACTTGTATATTTCTAATCAGAGTTTAAAATATGCAAGCGACACATGACAGCCAATTTATTTCTAATAAGATAGAATGCGTTATACACCTCTACGGATTCAGATGAAAAAAATGGCATCTTATGAAAATTGGCAAAATTTATAAGGATTTTTTTATCAAAAAACTGTATCAATTTATCTAAAGTTCTAAGCAAGCCATACTGCTTTACTAACCAGAAATATCTTAGTGATAAATATAAATCTGTTGTTTATTCACGTTACCTGTAAAATGCTAACGAGTAGAGCTCCCTTCTGCCAAAGTATTCTACACTACCTCCATAAAAATCCTCTATCAAATTGCATTTTGGCACTGAAATGTGATACGCAAAACAATTTAACGCAATTATTAATATAAGTTTTCCAAGTTTTCTGTACGTGTACCAAGTTGTGAGTAAATATCAATCTATAAAGTTGACTTGTTTCAGTACTAAATTTTGATATTCACGTTTAAGGAATATACTGCCATGCTGTATCTGAGGTAGAGATGGACATAGTATTGCTAACAAAAGAAAAGATAAAAGGTGTGGAAATCTTTTGAATACGTAATCAATAACTCAATCAAACAATGAATCAAACAATCAACTAGTAAATAAATAAATATTATTAATGTTTAATAAATGTTTAAAGGTTAAAGTTGGACACATCACAAAATAATTCGTTGTTTCGTGAATTCAAGAAGTTGAATTCGTGAAGTTGACATTGTGAAAATTTGGTAACCCGTTTATGGGCCAAATATAAGTGGAAGGAACACAAATTCCTTTTGAAAGCTCTTTTAACTGTGTTAGTTTTTTGTATTGCGTTTATGTGGTGTTCAGTATAATAAGATGAATAACACGTGACTGTCGGTGAGAATGTGGATATTGTCAAAATATAAACTGCCGTCCTTCTTATTACGGTCACAGGTAGGTCCTTGTGGCGGATTCCATTGGCCATCTATCCTGCACAGGATTGTGCCACGCACTTTTATCGTATAACCGTTGCTGCACTCAAATTCCATAACATTACCTACAGCGTAACTGGTATCAAGATCCGTCCATTTTCTGGATGCGACACCCAAGGATACAGTATTTAAAAAAAATAAGAACATTCTATCTGTTCATCTATTATTTATTAAAGAGAGCATAACCGTTATTTTCTCTAATTCGTTTCAATTTCGTAGTATTTCTGCACCACATTTCCTTCTTAAACCTTCTATCTTGTTTCCAAGCTCACAATCATACTCCACTTTAGCTCCTTCTTTAACCTTTTTTATTGGCGTATTTGTCTCTCAGTAGTGCATTTTGCACCAGCTTCGGTTTTCGCATTTTTCTTGTAATTTATAAATCATGAATTCATTCAAAAAGATCAAACAATGGTAAGTTAATGAGAGTGCCTATTATGTAAACCGTGTCTCATAATAGAGATATTTTTTTCAAATGCGGAAATGCATTTTATAAGAAGTTGCAAGATCGCCAGGAATTTTTCTGCTGTGCCCGAACAGTGGTAAATGACAAATGGGTGAAATATAACCACTTTAGCCACTAAGCCGAGAAGGCCCCAAATATCTATTTAATTATAACAATTTATTGTTTGTTATGTAGATAGAATAATATGTGTACTATACGTAAACAAACTTTTAGACATGACACAGTTGCTTCTATTTCCCGCTCATTTTTTTTCAAACAATTAATTATGAGCACAGATTTAGAAAACAAAACCACCGAGTATAATCCATTACGAAAGATTTTGAACGTAACACTAAGCCGTAAAAATATCCATGACATCGAGTGTATCGCTACATAAAATCGCTACATAAAATCAAAGTGTACAAAGTTTGAAAACCAGATGTCTATGGAATTGGACGTGATACGCAAATTTTAACGTTAATTTATTTTACGTAAATTCAAAGTTGAAAAATGGGCATGATTCTGCTGAAAAGATTGATACAGTGGCCTCCTTCTGTGGGCATATTAGGGACATTCTGGTGAACAATAACGCATATTGGCAAGTGTATATTGATCTATATTTGATAACAAGCTCTCTTACATATACATTGTAAAAACATGATAATTCTTTTAAGGAGAAATATATTAGAATGAATTGCTCTTTCACATATAATGTTTATGAATGATATTTGAATAAAGTTTGGAATAAAAATTGATCTGCAGCACACATTTATTTCTGGACTTCCTAAATAGAAAGACAAAACCATCAGACATCCTGCTGACTTATAATATGTTCTTTTAGTAAGATCTACATATATATTTCATAAAGGGGAAAATTATAGTATGATATATGAATATTGCGTCAAATATTGTAATGGCTTTGGATATTCTATCATTAAATAAAATATCTGTTGTCTTCTGTTTTGTTTGCATTAGACACGTAAAAGTGTAAATACAATAAATTGGACAGACACGAAAATGATAAACAGCCGCAAGTTTTGATCAATTCAGCGTTCCAAAATATTCAAGTTATGTGGCTGTTCATTTTAAAAGTGAAGCTCATTCTATTGAAGAATCATTTTTACATATCAACAGGAATAGATTGTTAAAGGCACATTATACAAAATAATAATTCACTATCATTTTACTAATGACCTGCATGCATCAGATTAATTATATGTTTCAGTTAATTGGCCAATGAGAGAATTTTAGGATACTATAAAAGTATACCAAAATGAAGAAGCCTGTGAAATGCTAAAGATTTAAGCATTTCTGAGGCCGAATGGGTCTTCAAAAGAGTTACAATTCCGTATTGTTTTCCCAGATTTTCACTTGTTTGCCTTTTTACAGTACTAATTTTCTTTTGGTTAGAGATATTTTTTGTATATTAATTATTATTTTTAATAACTGACGTTATTTTTCTGTTACTTTTATTACTTATCTTTCCTATTTATCGTACATGTAAATATATTTGGTGCACTACAACTTTTCTTATTAAAAAAAAAACAACAAAAACATTTCATACATAGAATCGTTGATCTATATTTATACTTTAATGTCACGTTGCCGTTAACGCTTAAACGGTAATATTTGAATGTATTCATTTCGTTTCAAAGACGAAATTAATAGAATGTGTTTTTTTGATTTATTTAGTCCATTTTAAGATTAAATGACGTTCTTATTCTTTAAGTTACATACAAATGATAGGTAATTTTTGGCTTATACAATGACAAAGAGGTTATTGATTCAAGGCCTCTAGCCAAAAACAACATATAAATAGCAGTGCAATTTCATACAATGGAATATAGTACATTATATCATTATGTTTAAACAAAATCGTGTTACTATCTAGTGGTGTTTATCATATTTATTCATGTTCTAACACATAATAATCTTTTTCTTTCTTCAAAGGCATGGAACACAAACTTGCCAAATTATCTATAATATTTTCAGCCTGACAACTCATTAAGATATTAAATTTATGAATATTAAGATAAACAAAATATTTGCTTGGTAAGTATTTTGATCTTAAATTTTCATAAGCCGTACATATCATTACAAAAATGATATTCTGTTTCTACTGAAACTTTACATAAATTACATATATCCTCAGATCTCTCTACTTGTCTATACCTATCTTTCAATATTTAAATCATGTGATGAAGTACGAAATTTTGCAAGTGAATTTCTAAATTTACGAATTAAAACAACAGATAAATATGCCTCATGGATAAATTCAGATTTATACAAACGATATGAATCTAACTTTTTACTTTGATTTAATTTTTCTTGCCAGTTCTGCCTATATTGATCTCTCATTCTATCTGTAAATATTTTTAGGAACATTTTCATTTCATCAACTCCCTGGTTATTTTTAAACATATCCAAAACCATTTGTATTTAGTAGTTGTTTAATGTTAGTAGCCCAATTTTTCATTCCATTTCTATCATATATAAGTAACATATAATGACATTGTTTAACATATCGATCATAAGGTAAACTTAATATCTTAAACCAATATACTTAAACTCTTGATGCAGTAGTTATGTACAATGGAGAACGGCCACAATCTCCTAAAACTGATGCATTTGTAGTTGATTGTTGAACACATATGTATCTTTTAAATGCATTATCATGTATGGTTTTTATACTTTTATGTTCAATTGACCCCCACAATTCAGATCCATAACAAAATATTGGAACTATTTAAATATCAAAATTATTAATATATACGTTTTTTTAAGCTGACCATATTTGTATAGATTTGATAAAATAGAAATAAGAACTCTTTTTCCTTTAATAGCTTGTTCATCAGCCATTTTAAATATTGACATCTGTCTTGACATTGTTACACCAACATATGAAAATTGAGAAACAGTTTCCAATAATTTACCATCATAATACCATTTCTCTTTATTAGAAAGTCTACCTCCCTTTTTAAATACTAATATCTTGTTGTTTTTTTCAATATTTACCTCTAAGCCAAGTTCATCACAAAAAAGTTTAAGTTTATTAAGCAATCTTTGTAATCCTACAACAATTTCATTAATAAGGGCTAAATCACCTGCAAAAGGAGAGATAGAATTTCTGTATTTTCCGGAAATAACTGAACTCCTTTTTTTCCCACTTTTTTCATATTTATGATGACTTCATTTATAAAGATAATGGTAAGTGTTGGAGAAATCAAACAGCCTCATTTAGTATACATTTATGGAGTCTATTATGCTATTAAGGAAAACTTACCTAAACAGTCAGTTGATGCATTCACCTTTTACAACAAGTGCTATATAAATATATCTTTCTTCACATAAATGGTTTGAAAGCTGATTAACGAACGGTGACATGTGTGTGTGTATGTTTTATTTATCTCATGCGCACGATATACTATGTCGTGGCCACGAATAACTAAGTCGTGTGCACGCGAAAATTAAGTGGTGTGCACGCGATATTATGTCGTATCAAAGAGTTACTAGTTTTGGCCATGAATTACTAAATAAAATAAACCAGGGCTAATTTCGTCTCAAGTTATGGTATGTAAAAGGTTAACAGGCCATTAGTACGTACATAAAGATCAATCCTATCACATAATGTTTCCCACAAAGGGCAAAACTTAGTAGAGATTAAAATCTGATTTATTGGTCTTGGATAGTAACCTGTTCTTATGATCCTTAATACATGTATAATGTTTAAAGTGGATATCTTAAGTCGTGTAATAGATTTAACGTTGCGTGTAAAATTTTAACCAGACTTTTTAAAGTTTAAAACATTTATAATTAGACAATTTTATCTGATTGATTAATTATCTCCTGTGCACGACTTAATTATCTCGCAAGCACAGCTTAGTAGCTCGTGGCCACGACTTAGTATCTCGTGGGCACTACTTAATTATCTCTAGCGCACAAAAAAAGTTACTATTTGCCACTACATAGTATATCGTGCGCACGACTAAGTATCTCGTGGCCACGACATAGTATCTCGTTCGCACAACTTAGTATTTCGCGAGCACATGATATATAAAGAGGCAGACATGTCGACTCTTTCACATCTACATATATTCGTAAAAAACGTTATTAACTTTACATTTAATTTCTTCAGTCGAGAGAAAGTCAATTACTTTGAAATAATCTGCATTAGATTGTTTCCGTATATCAATTTCATCAAAAAAAGGACAAATTTTACAAGTGACAGAATATCTTATAAACTGGCAGAATATACAATGTCTAAGATCTTTTTTTTCATCTGGACATAGCATGACATCATTTAACAAACCTGGCATTCAGGATATCCCGGGCACAAGCGACGTTTTGAGCAATATGTATTGTATTTATCAATTCATGCTGTATATAAGGTTAATAGGGTTAGCGACGATTGATGGTTGTTAAATCTATGGATATAGTAACTACTCTTATATTTTGAAATGCGTAACTCGATGATTGTAAAGTATGTATAAGTATTTCTTAAAGGTCCAAGATGCATCAGTCATGCTACCATTTTTATTTTAAAAACCGTTTTGTTTTCGGTATCTTGTTACAGTCATTTGCCATATATCTAGACTTTCTGGAACTATGTGCATATCTTTGTGTTAAATTTCCCTTCCTTCACCACTCAATCATTGAAGTATTCTTTTGTTGGTGGACACAGGGAATAACTACTTTTATGACAATTACTGCACAATAATCCTTCCGAGGGATCACTTTGTTTCCAGAATTTTCTATAATGAAACGAACGAAACGCAATATACTATCTGGGACGAATTTAGCGGGCTTTATCGCTATCAAATAATAGCATAGATTTACAAGTGGCCGTATTCTTAAAATAGAATTGCTGATAAGCACTGACCACAGCAACCGTTTCTGGTCGTACATTCTCTTTGTACTACCTAGTCATTTTACATAAGACAACTATGGTGTGTATGTTTATTAAGAAATAAATACGAGCTCTGTTTCAATTAAGTAGAGGTTTTGATGCTAAAGCATCAAGTCCCCGAACAGAAAAATGATTATATTATCATAAAATTAAGAAAATATCAGTTAAATGGTTCATGGATAAAGAAAAGATTAATAATATGTTGAGTTAATGTTAATTTACAATAAAGACACTATATGTGAAACAACCTTGGTAAGAAATATTGTCAAGAAACTGTTATCGTTTGTTAAATAAGCAAGAAATAAGGTGCACTTAATTCATCGTAAACTTAATTAATGGTGAATAAAACTGGTGATTAAAAAATTAAAGTAAAGCATTAACATTAAGCTTGCAAAGTGACTGGGAAAATATAGGCGATATTATGTATAATTATTGTATGAAACAATGCAATTCTATTGTAATTTTTAAAGGTATTGACTACAAAGTTATATAAACAAAACAATCTTTCCTATCTCATATTTCCTATTCAATTATTTTTATTTATTGAAAAATAAATAAAACTGTAGGGAAAAGAAATCTTCAAACAATTATAAAAACTATAGGCAAAACAAATATTCGAATACTTATAAAGACATTGTTTAGATATTTGTTATAATGTGTGGCCTTAAAAGATATAATTAGTTAACTACGTCAAATATGTAATGCCTAGCTTATAAGAATGATAAAGTTTTAGAGGTGTCCTAGTATTCTGAAATAAATTCACGGAAATCTTTATCATATCTACCTTATCCCGAATATTTTTTTTCAAACCACAGATGTAACACATGACTATTTTGAGTAATTACGTTGCCTTTTTTATATTGGCTGCTGTAAACATGTTTACCTGGGGGATTTGTCAACTTTTTAAAAATATTAAGAAGTCAGTAATGGTAGATCTACACACAAAACCTAACAAGTACTGTATTACCATTTACCTTAAATTTCTTATTTTTTTACATTTTACCTTCTGTAGGCGAACGGCTTAACTTGTTTAATACTTAAAACTGAACATGAACTTAGCATAAAAGTTTAAATTATATCAATGTTAACAACACTCAGTTTTTGGTCTCAAGCATACATTTATCAATGGCTAAAATATAATACCCTTGAATCATAAAACATATTTACATTGAACAGGGTGAAAGGGGGGGGGGGTGAAAATATAACAAAACAGAAATTAGCAGGCATATTAACTCATAGAATACATATAGCTAGTTGTTACAAGATTGATATAGACATAAAAATTAAAGTACATGTAAATGTTTAGCAAAATCAACCCTTTATAATATCTGATTTTTAGCAATTAACAAACATATCTTGAACAATAGTTACACATGTATCGTACTTAGTACGAATTAAAAATAAAAGAATAAGTGACGACCAAATTTTCATTTGTTTTTTAAAAACGCTAAAAAAGGAGATATTAGATGATTTAATAGATGATGTTTCAGTTCTTTTCAATAAATACAGATTTGTTTTTATCGATTGAAACTTGTATGAAAATAGATATTTCGCGACAACTTTTATGCCACAATGTGAAATTAAATCTTGTATTTATAGACACAAATTAAATTTTCTGTATATTGTGTACATTTTTCTTTTGTTCGGCATTAACATTTGAAAGACTACCCTATAATTATTTAGAAGAATGTAATCCGACAAGACACCAGTGACAATATGGAAATAATTTCACTATTACATTATTAATATTTCTCAATATTTCAGAATTTATATTAAGGATACTCACGACTATAATGAAAAGAGGATATGAAGTTTGATCTATAATTACGTGTTTTATTTCATCGAGTGATACGGAAATAAATATTTCGTCAGTTGTTGTACACACATGTAAGATATAATAATTTGATAATAATGAAATAAATTCCGAAATTTTGGAAAAATAATGTATTTTCTGTTTATTATAGTTTTCTCTGTTTTAAAATGATTATCGCGATAACATTTATTTTTTACCTATTTTAATATGTTTATTGACGAAAGAAGTTACAACACCAGTGATAAATGCGGAAACTATGTTACATTGCAGTAAAAGTAAACTTATACATAGAATAATACGGATGAATATTTTTCCGATAGTGTATAATAAATAAAGCATATGCTTAACCTTTCAGCATTGTACAGTAATACTTTAGAATTAATTTCAACATATACTTATCGATTTTTTTTTCTATTCTACTTAAAAAATCAAACGTGCACGGTTGGTTATGTGATAAACATATTTTGTTCTTAACAGTAAGGTGCATAATTTACAGATAAATGTAATATGTTATATAGCCCATTATTTTTTTATTGTATGTAAATCAATATTGGATGTATTTTTTCTCTCTCTACTATATATTCTCAAACAAAAGTATGAAAACATGAATCTAAAAATGAACAGATATTTGTGTTATTTTTAACCCTACTATTTCATATTAAAAAAATATTGAACGACTACAATAAAAAGATTTTGTAATCCGTGTTAATGACTGTAATATTGACCGACTTAAAAGTAAAAGAAATATTCTTCTGTGTGTTTTTATCAAATAACTCCGAACAACCATTTCGAACATTATCCCTGTAAATCTGTTGCTGAAAAAGCGCCTTTAGATCGACCCTTTTGAAAAAGGACATCTGGAATTTCCTTTTTTATTCTTGAACGCATTATTAATAAAAATGTTAGGAAAAAAAATCAAAAAGAGGACTTTTTCGCTTAAGAAAAATTAAAAATATGCATAAGCCTACCTTTTCTTCTGGTATTTCTGTTCCTTCTAGCCCCTACTTCGTTCAAGTAAATTATTAATAACAAAAACAATAAAATTGCTCTGTATTTACACATGATCATTTCGAATATTTCCTTTGCTCCGAGTGAAGAGAATATAGTTTGATGTCTTTGTTTTATCATACGTAAACCGGATACTCATAATTGAGAGTACAATCACCGCATGCCAAACTTTAAGGTGTTTCATCCAGATATGAATGATATAAAACTGTACATGATGAGTTTACAGTTGAACAATTAGGCCCGGGTCCAGAGATTTTTATCACCAATAAGGGTCGCAAAATGTCTCACGGGATATTACAGACGGCGTTAGCATTTTACGTGTTTTCAAAAGAGAATCACGAGTTTAATCTGTGCGCGATTTTCACTTTCAAAACATCAACCCAACATTCCAGATAATATCAATATGACAAAAATTTCTAAACGTATTTTCATAAACTGCATCGGGCTTTTGTTCAGGCATTTTAATATAGTCAAAAATGTTTGGAAAAAATATTAACAAAGTTAAGTTAACATGATCGTTGATTGACCTAAGATTTGCTCAATGAAAAACGTGAGACCCATAGTAAATAAGAACATGTTAATAAAAAACAAGAACATAAGAATAAGAACATATTGATGAAAACATAAAAACAACAAATAATAATAAGAACATTATAACAAGGACAAACAAGAAACTTAAGAAAAGAACATAACAAGAACAAGATAATAGCAACATAATAACAAGGACATAATAACTATAACATGAATTCAATGACAAGAAGATAATAAGAACATGATAACAAGGATACAATCAGCCGCGATCCTGAATAAATATTTTCTTTAGGTAGAAATGTCATGATATGCTCCTTCTCAAATAACACAGGGTTTTCCCTTGGAGTACTTTTTTCAGTTTTTAAACTAAAAATGTGGTTTTCTTTTAATTTATTCAAATATGTGTTTTGTTTGTTTTGTTTTTTGCCTATATGACTTAAATACTGTTGGGAAAAGGCTTAAATTTAAACAAACAAACAAACAAACAAATATGTGTTTTGCGAGAACTAAATCTTTAACTGCATAACTAGAACTAATGTTATTGTATTATTTATTTATATTTATTTATTTATTTGTTTATCTTCATTTTCTTTATTCAAGACTTTCCAACTCAAACCTTTCATTTAATACGGGAGAAACAAGCATTCTTTGGACGAATACCGTTTCTGCGTCCGATGGTTTTATTTACATAATTTAATTCATATCCGGTTTAAGTTCAATGTACTTAATTCTAGAAATGAGTGATGTTTTTTTTTTTCAGAACCAGGATCTGTGAAAATATTTCATGGAAAAGCTAGATCAAAGCGTTAATAAGGTCTGTTTTGAATTACTTAGTGCTTCTGGAATAGCGAGGAAAGTATTTCTTTTAAACTGGAAAGAAAGAAGTAAAAACATTTAATCAGATTCAACCTTTTACACAATGTCCGAATTAAAATATTGCTTTTTGGATTTATTTTCTTATTTAGACCATTTTCTATCATTCTAGAAAGTTTCCTGAACAAAATTCAACAAAAAAGTTATTAATTATAAGTTCATTATAGTAGATTAATGCACGGCTTTTCGTTCAAATGCTTTGTAATTAATCACTTAGACATTTCGGCTTTCGTGATAATATTACTACGCAATTGAACTCAAACCGTGCATTTTACTACAACAATGCACTCAGAATTGATATATAATTCCTGATCATATATTTTTGGATATCCCGTCAAAATGAGCATGAATATAGAAGCATGCTGCTATAACGAAGATCGAAACATGCATGCGTACTTTTTCCGCAAACTACATCAAATAAAGTTTAAATTAGCAAACATATGTAAGCGGTGTTGCAACCACTATTGAAATAAAACCACTATTGAAATAAATTATTTCAATAGAGGTTAGGGATACCTTTCATTTCAACCACTATTAAAAAAAGTATTTCAATAGTGATTGATGATGCATATCAGTTTTATGTCTATTATTATGTCTATTTGTAGCACTTTCCTTTCTGCTAGGGGAGTTTTTTCAGAAGTATGTCTTATGATATGATAAATTTCTTTTTAATCATGATTTACCTTTATATGGTCATGCTTTCCATACCACCTGTCATCTGGAACTGACAAAGCTATACGCAGACGGAATAATAGGCATAAAAATGACTTGCATTCCTACCACTTTTGAAATAGTTTATTTCAATAGTAGTTGTAATGAAACGGATCCTTAACCACTATTGAAATAACTTATTTCAATAGTGGTTGTAATGAAACGCCTCCCTAACCAATATTGAAATAATTTATTTCAATAGTGGTCGTTATAAAATTCATCACTAACCACTATTGAAATAATTTATCTTAATAGTGATGTTTATAATTACATGTATCCTTAATTGATTTATTTTAATATACAAGGGGTTTGAGTTGAAGTTCCGGTAATTTCCAATGTGTTAATTCTTGTACAAATAATTTACGATTTTCACATTATATATCAATAGAAAGAAAAAGGTAAAGAAAAGAATATGAAAACAATTCTATACATCATTCTACGAGATTTTTTTTATTTCTGCACAACAGTAAAAAATCCGAAAAGAAGTACGTTAAATTCATAGTATCGGTTATAATTACTGTAAAATATAAGTCTTTAATACCTTTTATTTGCATTTTAATTTGCGTGAATTGGTTATATATTTTTGCACACCCGTGAAAATTGTAACATTATACCATATTTCCTTTTAGTCTTAATTATTAACACCGTAAAATATGCAAGTATAATACCCACTTTTTATATCTGATATTGTTCGTTAGATAAAGTGTTTCTTGCGTTACAATAGTAATAACAAAGTAATATTTCTAAAAAGTTCATTCTCGTCTACAATAAAAAAAATGAAACATTAGTCTTTAAAAGTGTCTGTAAAGTGACTCTTAAAATGAAATGCATCCCCAACTACTATTGATATAATTACTTCAATAGTAGTTTTATTTCAATAGTTGTTGCAAAGTGATTCTTCAAATGAAATAATCCCCAACCACTATTGAAATCATTTATTTCAATAGTGGTTTTATTTCAATAGTGGTTGCAAAGTGATTTTTCTCATGAAATGCATTCCCAACCACTATTGAAATAATTCATTTCAATAGTGGTTTTATTTCAATAGTGGTTGCAACAAAGCGGGCTTCATAAAGGTTACAATGAACGAAAGTTTATCAGTCACGCAGTTCTTACGCTCGTGCTATCTTCTTAATTGTTTATGAAATACACACACATTAAACTCGATCAAGTGGAGAGATACCTTGAAAACTGTCCAAAGCAAATTTAAAAAAGAAAAGAAAAGAAACATAACACTTTCAAGGCATCATGGAGAACTTAACTCTATGGTAAAATGGTTAGATACGCGCTTTATATTTTAAAAAGGCCTGTATTATACAACACGTTAAAAGCGATTAACTGTGTCATTCTGTTTTTATACCTCCGCACAACAAAGTTGTAAGGGGGTATACTGCAATCAGGTTGTTCGTCCGGCCATCCGGCCGTCCGACAGGGCGTACGGCCGTCCGTCGGTTTTTCCTTGTCCGCCAAATAACTTAAGATTCCTTTGACCAACACTCTTCATATTTAGTATAGAGGTTAGTCATGATGAGTAGATGACCCCTATCGATTTTAGGGTCACTGGGTCAAAGGTCAAGGTCACAGGGGCCTTGACTGGAAAAAGCTTGTCCGCCTAATTACTTAAGATTCCTTTGACCCACAGTCTTCATATTTGGCATGGAGGTTAGCCACGATAAGTGGATGACCCAAATGGATTTTGAGGTCACTGGGTCAAAGGTCAAGCTCACAGGGGTCTTGAATAAAAAAAAAGCCTGTCTGCCCCATTACTTAAGATACCTTTGACCCACAGTCTTCAAATTTGGCATTGAGGTTAGTCACGATGAGTAGATGACCCCTATTGATTTTGAGGTCACTGGGTCAAAGGTCAGGGTCACATGGGCCTTGACTAGAAAAAGCTTGTTCGCCCAATAACTTAAAATTCCTTCAACCCACAGTCTTCATATTTTGCATGGAGTTTAGTCATGATAAGTAGATGACCCCTATTGATTTTGGTGTCACTGGGTCAAAGGTCATGGTCACAGGGGCCTTGAGTGAAAAGCTTGTTCGCCTAATAACTTAAAATTACTTCGACCAACAGTCTTCATATTTTGCATGGAGGTATGTCATGATTATTAAATGACCCCTATTGATTTTGAGGTCAAAGGTCAAGGTCACATGGGCCTTCACTAAAAGTTTGTCCGCCCATTAACTGAAGAATCCTTTGACCCAGTTTCATATTTGGTATTGAGGTTGTTTATGATTATTAGATTACTCCTATTGATTCTGAGGTCACTGGGTCAAAGGCAGAGCTGCCTTACTGGTACCGGTACTGCAGTGATTTTGCAAGTACTGGTACTGATACTGAGTAACTATTACATAATTTTGCTACTACTGGTACTGCACTGGTGTCTTAAAAAGTGGTACTGCTACTTCATGATCATGCAGTACTTTAGGTTTTGATAAAAATAATATCAATATTTCTCAAAAAGGGGAGCTATAATCCCATGACTAGTATTATCTTATTTATGTGAAAAAGTAAGTTATCAAATATATAGATAATTTGCTGCAATATTCCTTCAACTGTATTCATCATAGTTAGAAGCACCAAAGATTAAATTGAGTAAAGCATACACAATAACTTTTTACCTTAAAATATCCTTATAACAATCTTTTATTACTTTGTATTTATTAGCAAAAAACAGAGCAAGATGAAAACGAATTATTTAATCTTACTTTAAGTGATATTGTTAGCACCATAGTTGTTATTTAGTTTGGTATAAATTGAACAGAGGTGTGAAGGTGTGAAAGGCATCAAAAGACAATTCCGTTTTAAATGAAAGTTGACTGCATTGTAATACAGTTGACTGGTTACTTAACTATAAGATATGACATGAATATTGTATACAAATATTGTTTTTAAAAGTATGATAAATAATAAAAGTTATAAATATGTAATGTTAACTTTAAAGTGAATTTTTTTTTCCTGAATGATGTTTGCTTTTTTATTTAAATT